ACTACCGACCCTCCGCCACCGACGCACGGATTGCAGTCCTCAAGTTTTGCCTAGCATTATCCAAAAAGAGAGCTTGTGGATTGCGAGCTGATATTGCCGGCACAAGTGCGAGCTGTCCAAGAAACAGCGGTCTTGAGACTAGTCGCGGGAGTACGTAATCTGGGATGCACACCGAAGCCACTTCTGGCCTCCTGGGTTTCGGATCACCAGAGCAGTGGGTCACGTTCACGTCGGCTGATGACGTACTCTTGAGCCGTGCAATGTTACGGGCGCAGCTGCAGATGCATTCGAATATGTGTTGAACTTCACAGCGTGAGTCTTCCTACTATTTCAAGTCAACCACCGCCTGGCTCGTGCTGCAACAGAATGTGACTCAGCTTTGCCGGCTGGGTGTACTCTGTACGCTAAGGCGAGAGAGACGGTTAGCAGCGGGCATTGGATACCAGGAAAAAATGACTCAAGAAATCCCTACGTAAGGACCTGCGGCAGACGATGCTCTGACTCCACTCCTGGCATGGCACGCCACCTGGTTCGAGTCCCCGACTACGCAACATTTCTCAGAAGAGAGAAGAGGACGTATAGAAAAATAGTTTGCAGAATCAAAAGGAACCTTGGTCAGCATAGTAACAATACCCCAGCATATCCTTGACTCTAGTGCCCTTAGAAGGAAAAAAAAATGCGTTCGGACTTGTTTCTTTTTCTTTTTTTTTGGGGGGGGGGAGTATTTCTCAAGAAATGTAACGAAATACATTTCATCCTGATTGTATCGCGATACAAAGGAACATTCAAAATGTATTTCGTTACAAGAATAGAGATACTGGTGAAAAAAATGTATCGCGATACAGAAATACAGATACAAAATGTATTTCTGAAATACTATCGCGATACATTTGTATCGCGATACTGCCCAACCCTGAACTATAACACAAGGCATGGCGATTTTCCTTCTCGTCGTGCCTTGCGTTGTAGCTTCCGGGTCACGTAGGGGTCGATTTCGCCTGGCCATTGACAAGGGGTACTCGGATCGTCGGTGGCGTGCGTAGATGAGTGGGCGGCCTTGCAACACCGGCGCACGATGCAAATATTTGCCTTTTGGCGCCGGTGCACCCCATGACTCCAGCAACGTGTTATGTTCCTCTTTATTCATATTTGATGTCCGCCAAAAAGGTGAGCCTGTACTTGATTTTTTTTTTCTTTTGTAATTGCATCTTTTTTGTCTTTTGTTAGTTGTTATCTTTCAACATTTAAAGCCAGCAATAAAAAATTGATTTCTGAATCACCCCTGCATCATGTCATCTCTCTAGTTCATTTCCACCCCGGACCTGTTGCCTGCAAATCAGTCAATTTTTTTTGTAGAAAATGGGTTGTGGTCTTTGCCCCTTTTACGGACAAACTGGCGGACACTTTTTGTGGCAGGTATAGCCCAAAGTAGATCGACAGAGTACTGGCTGATTCCCCACAGGGTGAGGTGCTATTTTACTGTTTTCGTTGGACCTACGCTGCCCAATCGGGTCTTTACAAAACACAGAATTCGTTTTATCGGCCGACTTTCATGAAATGAACGACACGCTGGACGTGCAAAACACATTCTGTACTTCCTCAGTGTAGGTCAGCATGAACAAGCTAACGTAAATGTTAAGCTTTTTTTTTTAAATTCAAAACAATATTAGCGATTGCGAACATGACAAAAACACTGAAGATAAAGGAAACGACATAAATAAAAAAAACACAGGTTTTCAGATGAAAAAAAAAAGCCAAAACAATCATGTTGGTGAAATAATCGCAAACTATGCACAAAACCAAATTGTCACAGGATTTCTATGACAAATGTCACGCGTCGCACGTGTGACATTTGCGTAGGGGACTCATTGAATAGTAGGAAGACCCTTTCTTGAAATCTGTTTGGGGATCTGACACGAAGGTCTGACCAGAAACCGAGAATCGCTGATCGGCACTTTGTAATTGAAGCCATTTTACACGCGTGTCGCTCGCGTAGCACGCGTCCAGCGCGTTTACATATCGATTAGTTATTCTCACTATACGTAAAAATGTGAAGCTCGATTTTTATCAAATGGCTTTAATAACAAGGTTCTGTTCAGCGTTTCTCAGCTTCTAGACAGACCTTCGCGTCATCTGCAAACAGATTTGAAGAAAGGATCTTTCTTCTATGCCACGAGTCCCTTACACAAAGTGATCAAACAGAAGCGTCAATTGTTATCGCCTGCAATTTTACAAAGGAAGCAACCACAACCCTCTCGTGGTACGCAAACGCCAGTTCGTTTTAATGCCGAGCTGAAGCTTACATCCGCCGGCGAAAAATATTCACATGGAAGAAGCACATCCGCCACGCCACCCCCGCAGCGAATTTTGAAGACGACGACGTAGGTGACGCATTTTTCGTATTTTTGATTCCCATGTTGCTATGACCACCGTGACGTCTTTCACGAGCCGCGTTTGATTGGCGGTCCGTCCCCTTCGCAAGAGCGGCCGTTCGCAAGGAAAGTTTGGCAAAATACGGAGTTGCGAATTAGTCGAATTCGCACCGCAACTGCGTTGTGCCGCAAGAACGGCGTCGCAATTGCGAAATTGCAGGCAAATTCGCACCATGTGAATCAGGCATTACGCTCGTAGCGTCTTAGCTTTGACGGCGTTCGAATTTTTGTTGTTTCTTTGTATTTTCATCGTGATCTCGCGCTCCGCACCAGAGCAGGCACGCTTCTGCATCCGTGACAGTTTGAGACGCTAAAATTAGTACTACCCAAAACAAGTCCTAAAGGCCCTGTCACATTGAGGAAACACGGCGGAAACATGAACAAAACATGTTTCTCAACAGTCGGGAAACATGTCGGTTGTCGGCTCTGTTGCCCGACAACCCTGTCACATTGAGGAAACAGCAACACAACATGGACGACAGCGACAATGTTGTCTCGGTGTGACAGCTTTTGGCAACGGAAACCTCGACAACTTGTGTCGGACGACACGTGTTGCCCATTTCGGTGGCTGAGCGAATTTTTTTCCAGCAACACGGCAACATCTATATTTTTCTGTACAGATAGTCGCACGAGAATACTTCAATAATAACGTCAAGCGTGGAGGGCCATTTTGAACGCGGCTTCTTGCGCGGCGGCAGCTGATCGTCAGAATCATCTGAATCGATGGCACAAAGAAGCACCCTGTCACACTGCGGAAACAGTCGGAGAACTTTGTCCTTCAACACGAGGAAAACATGTTTTCGGGAACCCTGTCACATTGTGGAAACAGCAACAGTCCGGAAACATGTTGCTGTAGTCCGAAAACCATGTTTCCCAACTTGTTCTCCGACACTCGGGGAACAGACTGTCACACCGAGAAAGCGTGTTGGAAGAACACAAATTGCCTCCTCTCCTGCGCGCTGCCTCCCTCTCTCTCTCGCCCTCGTCTGCCCGGCCGGCTCGGCTAAGCTACAAGCGCGAGCTCCGGGCTTTCAGCATCCCTGCCAAGCACGCGCGCTCGTGCAGTGCAAGCACTGTTCTGTGCCAGATGCTCACGCGGCTGCGTCTGGACCGAAGCTGAAACAAAGTATAGACGCTTTGCAGCAGCTGTGCATGGACGCCGCCATAACTGACCTTCAGTTTTTTTAGAGCGCAGCTCTTAGGGGCCCGTTTCCAGCCTGAGCGGCGTCGGCGTCGCCGTCGGCGTCGGCGTCGGCGTTGGCGTAACCGGGGGGGGGGGGGTCACGTGACCCCCCCCCGAGGTCACCTGACACCTTAAGGTCACGTGACCCCCCCCCCCCGAGGTCACGTGACCCCCCCCCCCCCGAGCTCACCTGACCCCCCCCCCCCCCCAAGGTCATGTGACTACCCGCAGGTGACGTGACCCCCCTCAGTACCCTTCCCTACTCCTCAAGAGCTGCGCTCCAATTCGGCGTTACAGGGATTTGTAAACGGCTTTCATTTTTGTTTCCTCGTATTTCGTTTATTTCACTTCATCATTACCATAGCAGGCCAGGTTATTGCCATATTAGATTCAACTGTGTCCTTTTCTAAAGCATCGGCCTTTGTGGAGGATCGTCAACTACAGTTTCAGTTGCTCGGCATCTCGGTAAGACAAGAGAAGGTCAGCCATGGCGGCTGTAATTCGGCGCGTGTGTAAAGCGTCTATAGGCGGCTAGGCTCAGATCCGCTGGCTCCGCTGGCTCCGCTGGCCCCTTGAATCGTTGCCATTTTGGATCGACGTCTCATCGACGTCGCTCTACCGTAGTCGATTCATCAGCCGCGCGAACCATCTCGTGTTCTCTGGATTTGGCGGTTGCGTTCTGCTACAGGGCTAGACCCTTGCAGGATGGCATACGCGCCGGCCACAGCAGCAGCTTCTGCTTTGGTACTTCTTTGTGCCATCGATTCAGATGATTCTGACAATCAGCTGCCGCCGCGCAAGAAGCCGCGTTCAAAATGGACCTTCACGCTTGACGTTATTATTGAAGTATTCTCGTGCGACTATCTGTACAGAAAAATATAGATGTTGCCGTGTTGCTGGAAAAAAATTCGCTCAGCCACCAAAATGGGCAACACGTGTCGTCCGACACAAGTTGTCGAGGTTTCCGTTGCCAAAAGCTGTCACACCGAGACAACATTGTCGCTGTCGTCCATGTTGTGTTGCTGTTTCCTCAATGTGACAGGGTTGTCGGGCAACAGAGCCGACAGCCGACATGTTTCCCGACTGTTGAAAAACATGTTTTGTTCATGTTTCCGCCGTGTTTCCTCAATGTGACAGGGCCTCAAAGCAGAAGCTGCTGCTGTGGCCGGCGCGTATGCCATCCTGCAAGGGTCTAGCCCTGTAGCAGAACGCAACCGCCAAATCCAGAGAACACGAGATGGTTCGCGCGGCTGATGAATCGACTACGGTAGAGCGACGTCGATGAGACGGCGATCCAAAATGGCAACGATTCAAGGGGCGAGCGGAGCCAGCGGATCTGAGCCTAGCCACCTATACTTCGTTTCAGCTTCGGTCCTGCTACGTAGCAAGCGCACATACGGTGCGTGGACGACTGACGAGACCAGCGCTGGGGGACTGGAAAAGAACGTTTATTCGTCCGTGAACAGAGTATTTAACGCAAGCAAGAGAGAGGGAGTTGGGAAGGGAGAAAGGGCGAGGAAAGACATAACGCTGCTGTTGTTGATAAGTCACACGCCTGGCTCAGGCGGCGGGAGATAGCATATCAAGATGATTTACAACATTTCTCCTCCCTTAGTATTGAAGACGCTGTACAGGCTTCCTTTCCCGAGTAGATCGTCGCAAAGCTTGAGGGGGTTTCTGCGCCTTCTGGATAGGCGGCGACGCTTGTGCCGGCGCCACCTGGTCTGTAGGCTGCTCGTTCAAATCGCTTTCGTTGTCGGTCGGTGCGGGCGCAGCTGCAGCCGAAGGGCTCCCCTCGTCTTGGTCTCGAACGCCGCTCCGAGCGGATGCCGGGCTCGGCCTGGAACGCACTTGGTCTATGTGACGTCGAACCACCCCAGTAGGCGTTTGTATGGTGACCATGCGTGACCCTGTAGTGGACTGCACTTTCCCTGGTGTCCATTTCTCCCCCTGGCCGTAGTTACGGGCGTACACGGCTGTGTCGGGCGGCAGTGTCCACTCTTCCGTCTCCTGGGTTGACCCTGGGAAAGGCGGGAAACACGAGTCCAAGCGCGAGCGGATCAAGTAGCCGAATAGAAGTTCGGAAGGGGATTTTCCCTCGTGGCACGGCATTCTCCTGTAGTTGAAAAGAACTTTGACTAGCTTCTCTTCAAGTGTGCCTTCGCTCATCTTCTTTAGCGCTTCCTTAATCGTACGAACAGCTCGTTCAGCAAGTCCGTTAGACTGTGGGTGATAAGGGCCGCCCACACTAGCGAGAAAACGCGCCCGGCGCGCCGATAAATCGGTTAAGCGGGAAGATAAAGGGCGTGTCTCTGCACGCGCTCGTGGCGCTGACTGTGCTTCGGCGACATTTTGTTACTTGCCGCGATCGGCGTGCCACGCGCGTTTTCTCGCTAGTGTGGGCGGCCCTATACACAGCCGTACGTAGGTGTGCGATGTTATTGTTCTTAGCAAAGATGGCGAATTCTTCGCTAGTGAACTGCGTGCCGTTGTCCGTAACTATTGTGCGTGGAACACCGAATCTGGCAAAAATGCTGCGCAAGCTGGCAATCGTAGATGACGTGCTTGCCTGCCTCATGGGCACGGCTTCAATCCACTTAGTGGCAGCATCCACGACTACCAGTATCATGCTGCCTGCGACCGGCCCGGCGAAATCGGCGTGGAGCCTCGACCATTTTTCCTTAACGGCTGGCCAACTGATGGGTTGAGCAGAGGCCGGCATAGGCAGGTTTTGAACGCAATTGTGGCACGACGATGAGAGGTGTTCTATCTCTCGGTCTAGTCCCGGCCACCAGAATGCCGATCTGGCAACCGCCTTCATGGCCGAGGACCCTTGATGCGTTTCATGCAACATGTGTAGTACCCGTTCTCGTGCTTGTGTGGGAACAACAACTCGATGACCCCAGTATACCAACCCGTGAGCCACAGATAGTTCCAACCGGCGTTCCGAGAATGGCGCCAATCCCGCGTCCTTTACATGTGTAGGCCAGCCGTGCTTCGTATACTCCACAACCTTCGTTAGTAACACGTCCTGCGCAGTTAGCTGTTTGAGTTCCTCGACAGACACAGTGCCATCATCGAAACTTGCCAGCGCGTGAACATACTCGGGGGGTTCGCTCCTTGCTGGTGGTTCTGGAGTGTGCAGCGGTATCCGGCTGAGTAGGTCGGCGTTTAGTAGCAGCTTACCGGGCGAATACTGAAGTTTGTAGCGAAATCCACCGAGGTAGAGAGCCCAGCGCTGTATTCGGGCTGCGGCCAACGCCGGCGTAGGCTTGTCCGCTTTCAGCAGGCCCAGGAGCGGCTGATGATCTGTGACCAAGGTGAAATCTCTGTTTAAGAGATAGTCGCGAAATTTCGACACCCCAAAAACCAGAGCCAAGGCCTCACGTTCTAGCTGAGAGTAATTCCGCTCGGCACTGGTCAGCGTTCGCGACCGGAAGCCAATGGGCCGGTTTACTTTTCCGACCGTATGAAACAGCACAGCACCGATGCCATGCGGAGAAGCATCACACTCCAGTTTCAATGGTTTCGCGGGGTCGTAGTGAACGAGTACCCCTGCCGCAAGTAAGCACTGCTTTGCGTTGGCAAAGGCGGCCTGCTGAGCTTCTCTCCAGACCCAACGCGTATTTTTCCCCAGCAACTGGTACAAGGGTGCAAGCACGGATGACATATTCGGCAGGAACTTGGAGTAATACGACAGCATGCCCGAAAACGAGCGAAGTTCCTGCACATTTGTCGGGTTAGGAGCCTGGGCGATTGCTTCCACATGTTTCTCAGTGGGATGTAGGCCGTCTTTGTCGATTTGGTGCCCTAAATACGTGACTGAAGGCTGACTAAATTTGCATTTGTCTCGCCGGAGTTTTACACCGTGCTCGCGGAAACGCTGCAGTACTGCTCGCAGAGTATCGTTACTTCCTTGTCGCTCCGCAGCCAGCACATCATCGAGGTAAGCTTGCACGCCTGGTAGTCCCTGCAGGACTGTTTCGATTTTACGTTGAAAGATGGCTGGGGCAGACGCTATGCCAAAAGGCAGCCTCTTGAAGCAAAATAGCCCTCGATGCGTGTTGATTACGCATAGCTTCTGTGATTCTTCGTCAAGCGGTACTTGGTTATACGCGTCACGAAGATCGAGAGTACTGAAGTACTCTCCCCCGTTTAGGCACGCAAACATGTCGTCAATCACCGGCAATGGGTACTGCTCCAGTTCGCATACAGGATTTAACGTGATCTTGAAATCGACGCAAATCCGAACTGTTCCATCTTTCTTTAAGACAGGCACAATGGGCGTAGCCCACTCCGCATGCGCAACCGGTGATAACACGCCAATTGCTACCAGTCTGTCTAGTTCTTAAGAAACCTTATCACGGAGAGCAAAAGGGATGGATCGTGCCTTACAGAACTTTGGTGTAGCTCCCTCCTTGAGTTGAAGGTGTACAGGGGGACCGCTGATGCAGCCGAGTTCCGCACTGAAGACGTCTTGAAACTCGTTGGCGATGTCGTCCGCGGCCGGGAGACTCGTTGGCGATCCGGCTTCCGCAGTCATTTGAAGAATAGGTGACCCTGCGTTGCTCAGCTGAAACAGTAGATCCCGCCCGCATAGACTAGGACCGGGGCAATTCAATACAATTAGGGGGCACTCTACTACGGCACCCTTGTAGGCTACCTTCATGTCCAATTGTCCTAGGACGGGGAGCTTGCCAAGATAACAGGACAGCTTGACACCTGAAGGTTGCAATGGCGGCCATCTCTCCCAGTTCTTTTCATAAATTTCGCGGGGCACAACACAGACGGGCGACCCCGTGTCTATCAGCATTGGCATGTCGACACCGCACCACGTGAATGTCCTGTGAATTGGGGGCTCTAATTGCCACTTTCGAGAAGAAGTCAAAGTCCAGAGGTGCATCGCTTCGTCTACGTTCCCCTCCGCACAGTCTTCCGCCGTCGCCAGTGCTCGTCCCCGCATGCCTTGTGTCGACGCCGTTTCGCGTTTCCTCGGAGCGTCGCTCGAGCACATTTTCGCAAGATGACCCGGCCTACCACAGTGATAGCACCTGCTCTTGGCCCAGCGGCATGCGTGGCTGTTGTGCTTCTTACTTCCGCAACGCCCGCATTTTAGAGTCGGCTCGTTCGTCAACACGCGCTGCGCGTCAACCTTCAATACGGTGGTTGTATCGCCCGATATCTTATTTGCGTCGTCATCTGCCGTTTCGGCTGATACTGCTATCGCTTCGGCCTCTTCCAAAGTCAAGTTTGCTTTTGCCAAAAGCTGTTTTTGCAAGGCCTTTGATCTGACGCCACAGACTATACGGTCGCGGAGCATTCGTTCCAGCATGCTGCCGAAATTGCAGTTGTCTGCAATGCGTCGGATGTCGACAAGGAAATGTCGACATCCGACGCAGCCGCGCGAGCATCTGGCCCAGAACAGTGCTTGCACTGCACGAGCGCGCTTGCTTGGCAGGGAGGCTGAAAGCCCGGAGCTCGCGCTTGTAACTTAGCCGAGCCGGCCGGGCAGACGAGGGCGAGAGAGAGAGGGAGGCAGCGCGCAGGAGAGGAGGCAATTTGTGTTCTTCCAACACGCTTTCTCGGTGTGACAGGATGTTCCCCGAGTGTCGGAGAACAAGTTGGGAAACATGGTTTTCGGACGACAGCGACATGTTTCCGGACTGTTACTGTTTCCGCAATGTGACATGTCCCCGAAAACATGTTTTCCTCGTGTTGAAGGACAAAGTTCTCCGACTGTTTCCGCAGTGTGACAGGGCCTTAACAAGTCCCTTTTTGCAGCACCCCCTGGGCCGGTTTGCTCATCTTGCGGCTGCGGACGCGGCCGCGGCCAGGAGGGATTTTTACGTCACGTGACCAGCTCCATGGGGACAAGGAAGTACCTAGCGTCCCTGCCTAATGGCGGAGAGATCCGCATCGCTTCAAGCACAAAAGCCTAATTTCGCTCGCAGAAACTGATTGGAGGGACATTCAACTGGAATCTAATTGACCACCCCTTTATACTGTAGGAGCGGCAGGTAAAGTTACGGCCAGGGAGGGCAAATAGGAGCCAAAATAAAGAAAAAACCACACGAGATAAAAGCGGTAGCAGTATTTTTATATACCTCCGCCAGCACCGCTCCTCGCGCCTTCTGTTGTGGTCGAGACACACTATTCCCTGTCCCGCTCTATAGGGCACTCTTTAGTGCTGGTCCGGGTCAAGATGTGCTATGTCGAGTTAAAAAGATGTATATTCCACCTGCAGTGAAAACTTTCTTTTTTAAGCTACACACTAACACGTTGCCCGTGAAGGTATGGATGCAACAAAAAGGAATGTTTGTTCCGTGGTCAGTCGACTGCTTGCTGTGTAAACAACCAGAGAGTATAGAACATGTTTTCATTAACTGTTGGGATGCTATTTTGTTTTGGGATATCTTAAAGCGGACTTTGAAAAAAGATTTGCCTATCACACCACACTCCATTCGTTTCCTTCCTGTCGACAAACAAGATTTGATTCCATACGACCTTTTTATGGTCATCGGGCTTTTTAGTATTTGGAAATCACGCATGGCAGTGAGACATGCAGACATTAACCCTCAGCCTGTAAATGTTTATTTCAGTGAAATTATCACCCAGATTAAGGGCATTTATGCTCCCGCACAGCAGGCCCCAGAGTGGGCGCCAATCCTGGATAACATCATCCAGATGAAGCAATTGTAACAGCTGTTTATGCTTTAACGAGTTACAACTACTGTTTACCAGGATTAGGAAAAACAATATAGAACTCTATTTGAAACGTTCCCGGTGTTTTTATCTGCTAGCTAGCGACTTGCGTATGCGGAAATATCAATACCGGTGACAATGGTAGCATGTTTCATGTATACAAAAAGTGCGGGTGTCTTTTGTTTTGTGTAAAAGTGAAATACCTGTAACCAATGAGTAGAATGAATGACTTTATTGTAACTGCTCAAACTAAAATTAAAAGATATAAAAAAAAATTCTGTTGTGGTCGAGAGGTTAAAGCGCCGGTACTTGTCGTCGCGGCGTGCAAGTTTCGGGTTCGAATTGCGCTAGGGACTTCTATTTTTTTTTTTTGTATTTTGCGCGTGTCTTACTTTTGAACTGTGATCCTTTTTTGGAAACCATCCACTTGCACTACTGCGCCTTACACGCTTTTACTGTTAGTCCCACCTGTTCAATCGAAACACCGGGAAAAGAAAAAAAAAGATCAACGCAAGTTAACGCGCTAACGCAATCATTTCGTAATGTTCATTAAAAGGAAACCAAGCTAACAGCATCAGTATGGCTTTCACACAAGCGGAGCCGAAACAAGCATCCTTTCCCCAGCGTTTCCAATTTTATCTGTTTTCAAATAACGCTCTTGCTACGATTCCTTTCAATAACAAGAGACGCCTATTTAGGACTAATAAAAACTGCAGTTGTAGCAATTAAAAAAAAATAAAATAAGACAAGCCAAAAAAAAAAGACTAGCAGCTGTGGATACATTGATTGAGCGAAATCCTACAGGCAAGGCAGCAGGTCAAACGTCTGAGAAAGTAGTAGAACTGAACTAAAAGAGATCATACTTTTACTTGCATGGAATGAGATAAAAAGTATATTCACACTCTTTACATTTTGTTGTGACAATCGTTTTGTAATATTAACACATTACTTGTTGAATTTTAGTAGAATAGCAGACGATCACGAACAAATGCAAAAAAATGTGAAAGCCGCTTACCACTCCCAGTAACACCGAATTAGAGCGCAGCTCTTGAGGAGGAGGACGGAAGGGTACTGGGGGGTGAAGTGACGTGGGGAGGGGGGTCACGTGACCTTGGGGGGTCACGTGACGATGCCGATGATGTCATCAGTGACGTCACTGATGACGTCATCCGTGATGATGACGATGACGATGCGGATGCCGGTGACGTCATCAGTGACGTCACTGATGACGTCATCAGTGATGATGACGATGACGATGCGGATGCCGGTGAGGTCATCAGTGACGTCACTAATGACGTCATCAGTGACGATGACGATGCGGACTCCGATGACGTAATCCGTGATGATGACGATGACGATGCGGATGCCGGTGACGTCATCAGTGACGTAACTGATGACGTCATCCGTGATGACGATGACGATGCGGATGCCGGTGAGGTCATCAGTGACGTCACTCATGACGTCATCAGTGATGATGACGATGACGATGTGGATGCCGGTGACGTCATCGATGACGTTATCGGGGAGGTCACGTGACCCTGGGGGTGGTCACGTGACTTCGGGGGTCACGTGACTTTGGGTGTCACGTGACCTTGGGGGTCACGTGACCCTGGGGGAGGGGTCACGTGACCTTGGGGTCACGTGACCTTGGGGTGACCTTGGGGGCCACGTGACCTTGGGGTGACCTTGGGGGGTCGCGTGACCTTGGGGTGACCTTGGTTACGCCGACGGCGACGCCGACGCCGCTCAAGCCGGGAACGGGCTCCTAAGAGCTGCGCTAAAAATTAATCAGGCATCGACCATCGCAAACCCTCTCTCTAATGCAAATACCTAAAATGACTTTGGATCAAGAAATGGAATTAATTATAATTAATTCCATTTGTTGATCCAAAGTCAGTTTAGGTGTTTGCATTAGAGAGAGGGTTTGCGATGGTCGATGCCTGATTCATTTTTGCATTTGGTCGTGATCGTCTGCTATTCTACTAATCATCGACCATCGCAAACCCTCTCTCTAATGCAAATACCTAAAATGACTTTGGATCAAGAAATGGAATTAATTATAATTAATTCCATTTGTTGATCCAAAGTCAGTTTAGGTGTTTGCATGAGAGAGAGGGTTTGCGATGGTCGATGCCTGATTCATTTTTGCATTTGGTCGTGATCGTCTGCTATTCTACTAAAATTCAACAAGTAATGTGTTAAGATTACAAAACGATTGTCACAACAAAATGTAAAGAGTATAAATATACTTTTTATCTCATTCCATGCAAGTAAAAGTATGATCTCTTTTAGTTCAGTTCTACTACTTTCTCAGACGTTTGACCTGCTGCCTTGCCTGTAGGATTTAGCTCAATCAATGTATCCACAGCTGCTAGTCTTTTTTTTTTTTTTTTGCTTGTCTTATTTTATTTTTTTTAATTGCTACAACTGCAGTTTTTATTAGTCCTAAATAGGCGTCTCTTGTTATTGAAAGGAATCGTAGCAAGAGCGTTATTTGAAAACAGATAAAATTGGAAACGCTGGGGAAAGGATGCTTGTTTCGGCTCCGCTTGTGTGAAAGCCATACTGATGCTGTTAGCTTGGTTTCCTTTTAATGAACATTACGAAATGATTGCGTTAGCGCGTTAACTTGCGTTGATCTTTTTTTTCTTCTTCCCGGTGTTTCGATTGAACAGGTGGGACTAACAGTAAAAGCGTGTAAGGCGCAGTAGTGCAAGTGGATGATTTCCAAAAAGGGATCACAGTTCAAAAGTAAGACACGCGCAAAATACAAAAAAAAAAAAAAAGTCCCTAGCGCGATTTGAACCCGGAACTCTCACGCCGCGACGACAAGTACCGGCGCTTTAACCTCTCGACCACAACAAAAGGCGGGAGGCGCGGCGCCGGCGGAGGTATATAAAAATACTGCTACCGCTTTTATCTCGTGTGGTTTTTTCTTTATTTTGGCTCCTATTTGCCCTCCCTGGCCGTACCTTTACCTGCCGCTCCTACAGTATAAAGGGGCGGTCAATTAGATTCCAGTTGAATGTCCCTCCAATCAGTTTCTGCGAGCGAAATTAGGCTTTTGTGCTTGAAGCGATGCGGATCTCTCCGCCATTAGGCAGGGACGCTAGGTACTTCCTTGTCCCCATGGAGCTGGTCACGTGACGTAAAAATCCCTCCTGGCCGCGGCCGCGTCCGCAGCCGCAAG